TCTGTTCTGAAGACCCGGCGTTTGACGTTGTGAGTTATTTGTTTTGTTTGCTTTCTAAAGATGAAACTGATGACTTTACCTCAGTATCTGTTGCTCATTAAAGGGGTCATATGATGCTGCTAAAAAGAACATTATTTTGTGTATTTGGTGTAATGAAATGTGTTTATGCGGTTTAAAGTTCAAAAAACACATTATTTTCCACATACTGTACATTATTGTTTCTCCTCTATGCCCCACCTTTTTGAAACGCGTTTTGAAATCGCATCATATGACCCCTTTAAAAACTTTTCATCCGTTTTAATGTCTGTGCTGTATGCAGCACATGCTTCTTTCTGCTTAATCACGTCTACAAAGTGTTTGCATGGATGCAAAGTATTGCATAAAGTGCATGTTTAAAAGTGGTTTCTAAACATTTAAAGGGATAGTGCACCTAAAAATGGAAACATACCATCACCCTGCATCATGCAATACTCGTTTCTTACTAATTTTGTGCTGCTGATTTCAAAAATAGTGTCTGTTTTGCTCTTTCACATCACACTTTTGCAAAATTTTATGCATTATGTTGCATTTTTGCATTTGATAATGCATAATAAGGTGAAGATGTTTTGTATTTTCCCTTAATCTGCAGAAAAACACACAAACCACATGATTCCTCTTTATATTATTAACTATTTAATCAATTCTCAGCCTGTTTTCAGACATGATATTATTTTATGCATAATCCTGATTTCAAAGTCAGAATTTTGGTCTTTTTTTTTTTTAACTCCGCATCATCAAATCAGGTAATACTAGGCCTTTTTTTTTGGAAATCAGCAATTATTCTCCATTTACTCAACCTCATGTCATTCCAAACCTGTTTTTTTCCTGCAAAGAAAAGAATAGCAGAATGTATTTTCCATACAAAGGAAAATATCATAGCGTTAACACATGCATGATTTTCCAAGTCTTCTGAAGTCATACAGTAGCTTTTTTTTTTTATTAGCATCTCAAGACATGTCACACCAGCTTTGTAAGGAGAATTTGGTGGGAAAATATGTTTCATTGTCTTGCGAATAAAGTCACAGTGGAAAGATTTGAATGGTCCTAAAAATAGGCTTCACACACAGGGACTGCTGGTGTTCAGGTCAGACTGTGAGATACAGAATCTGCACCTGTAGGATTTACATTAAAACATCTCCAGTATACATAAACCCAAGCCTTTAACGCTTGTTTATTTGTTTTACCTCATTATAGTTGTATATTGAAGTGTTGTTTAAATAAAAGATAAAATGGTATAATTTTGATGATGATGCTTGCAGCTCCAGTAAGACTGTCATGCTGCATTTTACTTGTGTTTTAAATAATTTCCACAATTAGCTGGCTCTGCTTTTTTAAAATGTGTATATAATTATTTTATTATTTATATATAGAAGATATTTATCCAATGTATTGTATTAATTTATTAATAATGTATTTTTATATAATTTTAATGTTGTTTTGATTTTTAAATACATTTAACATTTTTATATTTTAAATATTAAAATACATTAACATATTTCAAATATACATTTTTATGTATAATCTATTTGTACATTTTTATTTTTGTATGGAATAACGACAATAAATAAATTACACACTTTGCTGCATATAGGACTATATTGAGAACGGTAGGTTGAATGTTCATTTGTTATGAATCAGTTTGTGAGTTTTCAGTGCTTTCTTGCATGACTAATGCACATAATCATGGTGCAGTTGCTCCTTACAGGAGGTGTGTTTAAATAATAAATGCAAAGAACCTCGTTACGAGTCAGAAATGCTTCTGCTTTGTCATTCAGCCTATGAGGAGGTTCAGACGGCGGAGAGTTTTTCCCCTTGGATGTGCGCATCAGTTGAGGAAGACGTCTTTGATTGCATTTTAAGCATTTGAATTGTATTACTGTAATTCCGTTACTAGGTTTCTCTGACAGACTGCAGCTCATTTAAGATCATATTCCTGTCTGCATCCTGCTGTTTTGTCTGATATCATTATATAAAATCGATAAAAAAAAAATTGCTTTCAGGTTTTATTTCCTTTCAGGAGTAGGTCCAGGTGATATAACTGAGGAAAAAATGGCTGTTATTTTTCAGCTTTTTGATGATATGCAGAGTATTTTTATTTTATTTTATTTTATTTTATTTTATGTATAATAAAGTGTGTGTGAGCAAGAGAGAATTAATAAGTAATCAAATATTTAAAATTAAAAATGTATCAATATTGATTAAGTTGCATTAATCAAAAATTACATTGCATTACATTAAGTAGTAAAAAATATAAAACTACAATTTTTTAAAACCTTGCTGAAAAGTATAGTTGATATTGTTCAGCTTTTTGATGATAATCAGTGTTTGTTTATTTATTTATTTATTTCATAAGTTACTATATATAATGTATCAACATTGATTCATAAAAATTACATCAATTGCATCAATAATTACATGAATACATTACATTAATAATAAGTAATAAAAATATAAAGCTAAAATTGTACCAATAATAATGAATAAAAATTTGATATATAATTTTAAATTGAATTTTAAAGGCTTAAATCATGCCTTTAAAGTCTTTATCATTCTAAGGAGCAGTTTTGCTTCAATGGATCCTCAGTATTTCTGTTTGACTTCAGGTGGGTGTTTGGATTCTGTAACTATCTTTGCTGCACTTTAGTGTAAATGTTGCCCTTGAGCTCCACACTGATACAGTGAGTCGTGTGCATTCAGTGATCTGTTATATGCTCAGTCTGACACGGCTTTGATCAAAAGGCCCACTGGATATCAGGCTTTCTAAGGAATCTGCCGGCAGTTCAGCATTAGATAAATTTCACGGCTCTTAGCGTACAAGACTGAAGCATGACAATCTTGAGGCTTGGGTGATTGCATTACATAATAAATGTAATTAAATCACTGTCACAAATTAAGTCCAGGCTGATAGAGGTTGATATTCTGCAGCTTTAGAGTGGAGAAAAAAGCCCACAGTCTATGGCTAAAAACTCCATATATGTGCTATTATTTTTTGCATTCAGTATTAAAAAGTAAATGGATTCAGCAATATTCAATATAGTGGGAAGTAGGGCTGCATGGTAAACTTTTTTATTTTACAGTACAACTGACTGCTGTCTTCTGTAGACCTGAAATTGAATTAATTTCATAATTGAACTTTGGAACATTAACACTATTTTTGAACTGAATTGAATTAACATTGAACTGAACTGAGCTGAATAATTAAAATATTGTGAATTAGTTTCGTGATTGATGAATTTTGCAACATCTACACTTTTATTGAACTGAATTAAGCTGAATAACGGGACTGTTATCTTCTGCATAGCTGTTTTGAATCTGAATCATGTTTGTTTTATAATTGATGAATCTTGCAACATTGACACTGTTATTGAACAGGATCGAATCAACTTTTGAACTGAATTAAGCTGAATACTGGCACTATTGTCTTTAGTAGAGCTGCTCTAAAACTGAATTGAATTTATTTCATAATTGATGAACTTTGTAACATTAACACTGTTATTGAACTGAATTGAATCAATATTGAACTGAGCTGAGTAATGACAATATTGGGAATTCGTTTCATAATTGATTGAATTTTGCAACATTGACAGTTATTCAACTGAATTGAATCAACACTGAACTGAAGTGTTGAGTCGAATGGCAATATGGTAAATTCATTTAATAATTGATTAATTTTTTACAACATTGACACTATTTTTTGATCTGAACTGAATCATTGTTTGAGTTTTATTAAGGGGAATGATGCTAGTATGTATTTGTTTAATAATTAATTATTTTTTTATTAATTTAACACCGTTATTTAACTGAAATGAATCAACTTTTGAACTGAATTAAGATGAATAATGACATTTTCTGTAGAGCTGCTTTAAAACTGAATTGAATTTTTCATAATTGAATTTTGCAACATTGACACTGTTATTGAACTGAATTGAATCAACTTTTGAACTTATTTGAGCTTGATTATGACACTTGTGAATTTGTTTCACAATTGATTACATTTTGCAACATCAACACTTTTGAATTGAATCAATGTTGAACTGAATTAAAAGGTTAATCCACCACAATATGAAAATTCTGTCATTACTCACCCTCATGTCATTCCAAACCCGTAAGACCTTTGTTCATCTTCGGAACACGAATTAAGATATTTTTGATTGAATCCGAGAGCTCTCTGATCCTCCGTAGACTGCAACACAACTGAAATGTTCCCGGGTCCAGAAACGTAGTAAGGACAACGGTAAAACAGTCCATGTGATATCAGTGGCTCAACTTCAATTTTGCGAAGCTACGACAACATTTTTTGTGCAAAGAGAACAAAAATAACAACTTTATTCAACAATTCTTCTTCCCCGAGTGACGTCTTGCGTCATTGAACAAAGGTCTTACGGGTTTGGTATGACATGAGTAATTAATGACATAATTTTCATTTTGGGGTGAACTAACCCTTTAAGATGAATTATTGGCTTCTGTAGAGCTGCTTTTCAGCTGAAATTGAATTTGTCTCATTATTGATGAGCTTTGCAACTGACACTGACTATAATTTAATAAAACGTTGAATGGAGAGTTGAATCATGACGTTGTTGAGAATGTGTTCAGTAATTGAATTTTGCAACTTTGACATTTATTTAACTGAATTGAATCAACTTTTGAACTGAATTGAGCCAAATGACAATATAGTAGAGCTACTTTAAAACTGCATTGAATTTGTCAAATTGATTGAATTTTGAAACATTGACAGTTACTGAACTGAATTGAATCAGCATTGAATAATGGCAACTATTGTGAATTTTATTTGATGATGGATGAATTTTGCCACATTCTCACTATTATTTTCCTGTTTATTACTGTGAAGCTGCTTTGAGACGGACTGTGTTATATGAAGCACAGTCTAAACATGGTTTCTCCTCCTCACAGTGTCTCTGTCGTCTTCTCCTGACCCCTGTGGTCTTGTGTTTGTCTTGCAGTCAGAGGATCAAGTCCTCCTGCTGTCCGCCGCAGGCTGTTGGGAGTTGGCCGTCCGCACAGGGACCCTCCAATGGCTGGGAGATGTCGTCCTCTAGAGAGACCCGCGACTGCTACATCAAGTGAGTGTGTTTGCATTCAGCTTTCCTCCCGATGCAGATGTTTGACTGTCGACGCTTCCTGGCATAACCTGTCACGTTCCCTCTGTCCGCGCGTCCCGAATACTGATTCCGTCCTCCTCGCCGCACTGCACACGGTGACTCCGCGCGAGTTCGAGAGCAACAGCGGCTTTGATCTGCTTAAGACTCGAGCGAAGCTTCACGCAGCACATTTGCATGCAGAAACGTGCGTCAGCCTTCTGAAGTGACGAACCGGTAAAAGATACTAATGTTGCTTTTTTTTCTTTCCGCTATACTGACGTGAGATAAATGAGATGTGAGGAGGCTAAGAGCAACATGTGAGTCCACAGCTGCTTCGGTTGGAGCGACAAGGACACACTTTGGCTTTTTCTGTCTATAGGAATATAGATGCATTACATCTGCCTCTAAAAGTACTATGCTAGGGGGTGCGTTCTAATATTCCATCTAGTGCACTTAGTATTGATCTTGCTGGTCTGTGTTTACATGCACCCTCCTTTTTTTTAAATGCATGCGGTATTTATATATCAACCCTCAAGATTAATGTAAACACAGCCCACTGTGAACACCCTTGTAATTCGCTTTAACCTTTTCGAATTTTATGAATGATTATTTTTTGGTTCAAGTGTGTGTTAGGATTTGGAAACAAGCAGAGTACGGCTGTTTCTAAAGCATGCAGCGCCATCTGCTGTTCAAAACGAAGCTCAGAATCGACTCGAGAAAGAATTGCGATGCATTCGGAAAATCTCAGAATCGATGCTGAATTATTTCTCGATTCGCGATGCATCGATTAATTTTCTCAGTCCTAATATTTATCTCATAAATAGTTTCTGAAAGCATTTTTTTTCATAAATAGTTTTTTAAACTTTTAAAAAGTTTCTTTATTTTAATGTTTAAATTATTGTATTAATTATTTAATTATTAAATTATTTATTGGTCAGTAGTGGAGGGTTGATACTCCTCATTTAGTATATAGTGCGAACTTTTCACATTTAGTCATCATTATAATTTTAAATAAGTTTAAATTTAGTTTATTGGTTTATTTTATTAATTGTAGTAATAACAATTTTATTAGTATTATTAATAATATGAGTGTTGTTGTTGTTATGTATAATTTTGGGTACTACTTCATGATAAGGGCTTCACTTGTAAAGATGAACTAAGTCAACTAACAATTAACTACTACTACAATATTTAGTAATCTTAGTACATTTTAACTTCAACATTTCATTTACTAATTTACTAATTTATTTTTAAAATGTTACCAATTTTTCTGTAATATTAAATATTTAAATGTAAACATATTTCTCATTGTTAGTTGTTGTTGTTAGCGAATGGATTAACTAATGTTAACAAATATGACCTTATTGTAAAGTGCGTGTGTTATTTTAGTATTATTTACATACTGTTAACATATATATTGATATTTTTAATTTGCTTTTATTTTTATATTTTCTGTTTTTATTTTAATTTTAGTTTAAGTTTTAGTAATTTTTATTATGTGCCTTTGCCATTGTTATTAGTTTTTGATTTTGATAGCTTTCATTTATTAATTTCGGTTTTAATTGTAATACTTATTCATCTCAGTTACTTGCCAATGCAGTATTTATAGTTTTCATTTATGTTTTTCATCTAATATTTGTTTCATTTTATTTCATTTTTCTGGAAACGATTTTTAGTTGTTGTAAATTGTTTTAGTTAATAAGAACTAGGGCTGGGCGATATAGCTAAAAAATGTATCAACGATATAATGTTTTATATCGTTCGGTATCGATAATTATTGACATTTTTATAACCTTTTGTAAAACAAAGAGCAATAGAATTTTTTTTTTTAAATTTAACCACTGTATTTTTAAATTAACCCAATTCATTATCCATCCATCTCGTGCACCACTGATGACGCTCCCTGACGCACACCTAACATTCAAATGTTTATTTTAAATTCGACTAATATTCATTCTTTATTCACAATCTCCTCATCACAGGCAGGCACAGCACTCATTTCAGCATGTGTTTGTGTGTGCTGTCTGCGGCACTCATAGCACGGGCCTATATCGAGCACTATATCGAACATGTTTTATATTGTTATCGAAGAAGGTGTACCGTCGATAAATATCGATACCGTTTTTTTACCGCCCAGGCCTAATAAGAACACTGTTGTTTGTTTGTTTATGTATTTATTTATTTTCTGTTTTTTTTTTTAATCTATATATTACATACAGGCAATGCTTTCATTTTCATGTTGAGATTTGTTTAGTATGGAAGTCAAAAAAGCAATCTTTTATCCAATTTAAATGTTTTGTTTGCTTATTAGAGTGACTGGAGCATCCTGAGGTTAGTCATTATCTATAATATCTACATCTATACTATACTATTATTATATGATCATTTCGACACAAGGCTGCATCCTATGAACACCCAGTATGCATTAAATGTTCCTCTGGTCCTCATGTTGCCATTCATGCTGTGAAAGCAGCTTATTTTGTTGATTTCTAATTAGCCGCCTCATCAACAGAGGGCGGGGTTTGTCACACATGAGGGTCTACGGCCGGGGCCACTTATGTAAGAATCGAACACAGCGTTGGGCACATGCACATCGGATGCGGGATATTGTGAGCAGGAGCTTCCCGTCGGGTCTGTCTGCTTCCTTGGCTGAGATGCAGCTTCATACTCGGGTGTGTAATAATTTATGCTTTCACGTCCGTATGGAAGTCTTTTCTTGATGTTGACTCGAACCATAAAAGAAGTTACCGTTTTTGAAATATTCATCGGATATGTGCCAGATTTGTGTTTGCTTACTGCGGCATGTGATGCTTCCAGGAAATGTTGAACGGGTGCGGTGAATGTCTTAGGGTGGCGCACTATTAAGGGCTCTAGCATGGCTGAATCTGACAGTTTAGTTGCTCAACGGTTGATAAAGAGATTCGTTGTGTATGTAATGCCAGGTGCAAATGAATACTAGTGTTGTGTTATTTACCATGATAACTAATGCAATGCTGTTTAACATTTAATTGTGTGCATACAAAAATATTATACATTGGCTGGAAAAGTATTGGGATACTTAAGTCTCACTTCAAAATGTCACTGCATTACATACAAAATATCTTATCAAGTTCAAATCGCAACACTTTGTCTTCATTTTGGATCTATTGTTTTATCATCTCAAGCCAATGAAACTTAATTTATTAAATGTTTTGCTTAAAGTGTGCATCCTTTAAAATAAATGACGCTTGCTTTTATTTCATATATTATATGATATTATCTATTCTTATAATTTTTTTTGTTTTCAGACATTAAGTATAGTTTAAGTGTACTTTTAGTACACGCTGTATCAAAAATACTTTTTTTTTTTATTTGTAGGAAAGTATATGACTTGCCCTATAGTAAGTGTTATTTTGTTTTCTCTTTTGTTGCGCTACCAGCTGGTGACCTCTTTGAATGTTGACGATATTATAGAAGATTTTTATTCATCTGACGTTTTAGCTGTAAGAGGGGCTGATGGGAAACACATGGGAATAGCAAATAAAATATGTGACCTTGGAGCACAAAACCAGTCATAAGGGTCAATTTCTCGAATTTGAGATTTATACATAATCTGAAAGCTGAATAAATGAGCTTTCCATTGATGTATGGTTTGTTATGATAGGACAATATTTGGCCGAGATACAACTATTTGAAAATCTGGAATCTGAGCGTGCAAAAAAATCTGAATATTGAGAAAATCACAATATTTGGCCGAGATACGACTATTTGAAAATCTGGAATCTGAGCGTGCAAAAAAATCTGAATATTGAGAAAATCGTGTACCTAAGTATACTTGCAATAGTTCCAATTTAGCACAATCATATATACTTAAATATATCTTTAGTTGGACTTCAACACTACTTCCGCACAATTAAAGTGCATTAAGCTCAAAATGAGTTGTTCCAATTTAGCAGACTTTAAATATACCAGTTTAGTATACTAAAAGTACAATTGCAGGGTATTTTTATTAAGTACATATGTAAATGTATTTGTAGTATACTTAGCATGAAATAAATGTATTTTAAATGCATTGTAGTATATTTAGTTTTCACTAGGTTATAGATGCTAAAATTGTTTTTGATATTTTATTTAATGCAGTCTTTTAGACATTTTAAGCATGGTTTAAGTGTACTTTTCAGGGCTGCAGTATAAAAATAAATATGTTAAATAATCCTAATAAGCCTACAAGCTAATCTTGTACAAGTGTTATTTTAGTATCATTGAGATACTATTAAAGTTTTTTTTTTTTTTTCAATTGGTTTTTATTTTTACATTTTCATTTTGGTTAGCGTTTTAGTAATTTCGTTGTGTTTTTGTCCTTTTTTTAACATGTAAATGTTTTTTATTCATGTTTATTTTAGTTTTGGTTATCAAGTAAAACTAAGTGAAAATGAGAAATGTTGCTTTGGAAACGTTCTCAAATAAAAAAATTAAAATGAACTGAAATAAAATAAAAATTCAAATCCAAAGCAACCTTTTTTTTTTCTTTAAGTTTAAATTGATAACTAAAACTTAAATTTGTATTTAAGTTTTAGTTATCAAGTTAAACTTAAAGAAAAAAAGGTTGCTTTACATTCACATATATATGTATGTATGTGTACAGTATGTATGCATATATATATATATATATATATATATATGTGTGTGTG